AATACTAGGAAGTTGCAGAAAATAGCAAAAAATGCAGAAAATTTCAAGCAATAAATTACAAAAAAAAACCTGAAAGTAGCAAAAAATACAGAAAAAATTGCAGAAAATACCAAAAATGCAGAAAAATAGGAGAAAATACAAGATAGTTGCAAAAATGCAGAAAATACCAAAAAATACGAGAAAATAGCAAAAATTGCAGAAAATACCAAAAAATACCAGAAAATAGCAAAAATTGCAGAAAAATAGCAGAAACGCAGAAATTTTCAGAAATAGCAGAAAATGTAGAAAAAGTAGAAAATGTAGAAAATACCAGAAAATTACATAAAATGCAGAAAATATCAGGAAATTGCAGATAAATAGCAGAAAATACCAGAAATAGCAGAAAATAACAAAAAAATTGCAGAATTGCAAAAAAATAGCAAAGAATACCAAAAATTGAAAACATTATACAGACAAATAACAGAAAATTTAGCATGGTAAAAATGGATACATCATAATTAATAACTAAGTAAACAAAGAGATAATTAATGTTTGAAAGAAAAACCATATAAGATATTAAAAATTTCTGTTAGTTAGAATTAAATGGAAGAGATAGCTCACCAAGGAGCTCTTCTAAGGAGTGCAAAATGATTGGTTTGACAAGGAATTCTATCAATTATCACTCTCTTTGTTGTCGCCATATTACGGAGATGCTACAAAAAACCACAATTGTCAAATAGTTGTTAGTTAAAATAAATATAAATGGCATGCAAATAATCAAACTATAATGATAAATTGATAAATATATAAATGATACTACCTTTCTAGTCAGATTGAAGGGATATGCTTTCAAAATTGGAGATATCAACCTCTAAATCAATGTTTACATCATCCTTTTCTGCTTTATCTACATTTACAAAAGGAAAAAGTCAAAAAAAAATGAAATAGAGGAAGAAAATGTAATGTGTAATATTTACCTTCGGATCCAAATAACCAATCCCGAGTGCATATCAATGCCTCAACCATTTTTGGGGCAAGAGAGCTATGGTACTGATTTAATAATCTTCTCCCTCCACTAAATGCTGCTTCAAAAGCCACAGTCGAAATTGGAATTTTCAAAATATCACGAGCCATTAGAGACAACTCGGGAAATCGTTTTTCACATGACTTCCAATATGCTATGACATTTAGTTCAGTTTGTCTCTCAACATATGGCTCCTCCAAATACAAGTCAAGTTGTGACTTCCTTTCATTTGTATAAAAGACTTGACTTTCGTAAGCATCATAATCCTACATCAACAAAGAAACATATAATTAAAAATGTAAACCAATATATAATCATCATTTTGCATATGACTTATTATTTATCAAGACAAAAATATAAAATAACTTTCACCTTCATAAAGCCATATTCCTTGTAACATGTTGCGCTACTACCCTCAGATAGAATTGTTGAAGCACTTAGATTAATGGATGAATAGTGATTCATGTATTCTTTGAATAATTCATACAATGTGTCTCGAACATGAACACTTTTATCTTTCTCATCCTCACCATATAACCTTATAAATGCATATTCCACAATCTTTAACTTGTATCGAGGATCCAAAACTACAGCAATGGCCAAAATAGTACTATACTCTGCCCAATATTTGTCAAACTTTTCTTGCATGGGTTTAGCCATCACGCTTATAAACCAATCTGTGCTTTCTAATGCATCTCTTAAAGTTCCTTGGATCTGACAAACTCTATGGAAAAACAAGTTTGACAAACTCTACGATAGTATGGATCCACCAACTTCAAGTGGCAAAACACCTTGTAATACCCAATTGCTTCATTGATAGAAGTGAGAAGCCAGCCCAAGAAGAGTGGAGAACAGATGAAGATTGACAATTGCCGCCCCGAGGCCCCCCAATTGGCATTATCCACATCATATCAGGAGGAACCGCCATCGGAGGGAGAGCAGCTCGGGTTAGAAGAAATATGCTCGGCTGTGCGAGATCGATGACCGGGGTCATAGGAAGAAGCGTAGCTTATCTATCACCTTCACCGACGGTGACCTCCGAGGGGTCCAGACACCGCACGATGATGCCTTGGTCATCATGGCCAAGGTGGTTAACTTCGAGTTGTGGCGGATCCTAGTCGATACAGGGAGCTCTACCGATGTACTGTTTGAAGATGCATTTGAAAAGCTCGACATCGATAGAGAGCGGCTCACGCTGGTCAACACTCCCTTGGTGGGATTCTTGGGAGAGCCCCTCCTGCCCACTAGGAGAATAACTCTTCCCCTCTTGACCGGAGACGACAACATCAATGCGACGGCAATGGTAGACTTCATCGTGGTGCGTTGCCCCTCCTCTTACAACGTGATCCTCAACAGGCTGACCCTCAACGCCCTACAGGCCGCAGTCTCAACATACCACATCACCATGAAATTTCCAACTAAGTACAGCATAGGGGTGGCACACGGAGACCAGAGAACAACGCGACATTGTTATCAGCTCTCCTGCCAAGGGCCACATCCAACCGGCAAGACACAACATGGCCAATCCGTGGCCAATCCGTGGGAGAGCCCCTCCGTGGTGGCACACGGAGGCCTATGACTTACGCGATGAGGTAAAGGCACAACATGGCCAATCCGTGGAAGACCTCATCCAGGTCCCCCTCTCTGAAGAAGATCCCAAAAAAGATAGTCCAAGTCAGCTCCCTACTAGACGACCACCTCCGAGGAGAACTTGTGCAACTACTAAGGAACAACTATGACGTATTCGCTTGGTCGACAGCGGACATTCCCGGGATCGACCTTGAAGTTATCACACATCGGCTGAACGTCAACCCACACTACCGACCAATGAAGTAGAAAAAGAGGAGCTCCGCCATAGAGTGGTGGCAAGTGATTTCCGACGAAGTGCAAAAACTAATCGACGCCGGCTTTATTCGGGAAGTCAAGTACCCCGACTTGCTGGTCAACGTAGTAATGGTGAAGAATACCAACGGAAAGTGGAGGATCTGCATCGACTTCACCGACCTAAATAAGACCTGCCCCAAAGACAGCTTCCCCCTGCCAAGGATCGACCAACTCGTTGACACAACGGTGGGGCATGAGCTACTGAGCTTCATGGATGCATTCTCAGGTTACAACCAAATCCAAATGCACCTAGATGACCAGGAGCAAACAACTTTTATCACCGACTACGGCCTGTACTGTGATGAGAATGCAAATTATCATATTTTTATCCTTTAATATTTAGTCTTTTATACTTATTTAGTGTCTAAATGGACTCATTATTCTTATATTTCGGTTTAGGGCACGTAAGGAGGCGTTAAGTGAAAAACAAGGCTAATCGGGTAATTCTGGACAGTTTCGGCACTGCATGGTAATGTGGGCATAACTCTCTCATCCGGACTCCGATAGAGATGATTAAAGATGCGTTGGAAAGATAAGGAAAAATTATACAACTTTCCTGTTTTGAGTTTTGATAGATACGGATAGCATCGAGGTCAAAATCGGGCCCTAATTATCTACAACTGCACTGCTCACATGCTGGAAACATTCCTTCTCCTGCAAATTTTCATATATGAAATCACCACTCTCGCACTTACATTAGAACTTTGTTTTATCCTATTTTTGAATTTTTTTTTTTCTTGACAAGTCAGACTTGGAGACTGTTATCTAGAGAAATTTAGGTGATTTTTTAGGCTTCTTTTGGGGGAAGTAGAGAGAAAGAAAAGAAGAAAAAGAAAATCAAGAAAGCAATCAGACTTAGGTTGCCACACCTCTCTTCTCTTCTCTCCTCTCTTCTCTGATTTTTCTTGAGTTTTCACCATGACCATGCATGGCTAATGCTGATACTTGGTCGAAGGAAACAGAAGCCTCAGAATCCACCAAACTGTGAGATCTAATTTGATTTTTATTGTTTGATTCATGCTTTGAGTATCAAATGTTCTTCTATGTTCTTGTTCATGATTATTTCGTCTGATTGCTAGGAGGCCTACTAGTTTATTATTCGTACAATCTACTACTAGATTAGATATCAAATCCGTAATTGTTTGATCCCTCTAATCTGCGAAGCAACTAGGGTTTAATGATTTGCTGCATTAGAAATTGTTAGACTTAGGAAGAACACTAACCTGAATTAAATGCAACCGCTTGTGCTTGTGTTGTTTAGCTTCATCGATCTCTAATGCTTAAGGCTACAGCTGGATTAAATCTTTAACGCTTGTTTAGGGGTTGTTTAGTAGTAAGGGTTAAGAGGATTGCTTGTTTTCTGATTAACTAGATTAGGGAGATGCAGGAAAATAATTCCTACGATGAATATTCAAAGTCTGAATTGATTTATCTTTGCATCGATGAGCAGTAGTGAAATTATGATGGTGGATGTTGACTTAGACCAAGTTTCGTTCTTTTGATTAATTTCAGCACTCTGAATTGCATTGTTTCCCATTTGAATTTCGTTCCTTTCAATTCTGATTTTCTTTCTTTTTAATTCTGGTTTTCATTACATACAACCCCCCTCCATCTTTGTTCACACAACACACAAACTAGGTTAGATACTCTCTGTGGGAACGATCCTTACTCCCACTACTGCATTTATTTTTAGGAGTATAGGTTTTATTTTTGGGTGCCTACGACAGCACGCCAAATTTTGGCGCTGTTGCCGGGGAGTCTTTCCAATCAGTTTTTGTGCTTATTGTGATCATTGTTTCGTTTCTTGAAATTTTTGAAAAAAATATAGATCACTGTGATTGTTTGTGTTTTAGTGTAGAATATTTTCTGTTTTATTTATTTATTTATTTATTTTCATCATTCTAGATTTTTTTTATGGTATGTCGTTCATGGGTTATTAGGGTTTCCTTGATTTATGCTTGTAACTCGATTCTCTAAGCAAGGTGATTTGCAGTACGATCCAGAAATAGAGTTGCGCAGGTTAAGGAGAGAAGCTCGGAGTCATTCTGAATAGAATGATCCAGCTCTTGATTCCCTATCTATTAGCAGTTCTGATTTGAGAGAGGAGGAAATCATGGCTGGAAATCAAACTCTAAAAGAGCTTGCCGCACCTAATTTGAATCAGCAACCCTTAAGCATAACTTTTCCTGCTTTAGATGCTAATGCTACTTTTGAATTAAAATCTGGATTGATACATTTCTTACCCACTTTTCATGATCTTGCAGGTGAGGATCCTCACAAGCATTTGAAGGAGTTGCATGTGGTATGCACGAGTATGAAACCCATGGGGGTGACTGAAGAGCAAATTAAATTAAGAGCCTTTCCGTTTTCTTTGAAGGATTCGGCTAAGGATTGGCTCTATTATCTACCCTCTGGGAGTATTACCGCACGGAATGAGATGAAGAGGCTATTTTTAGAAAAATATTTCCCAACTTCAAGGGCGGCCAACATCAGAAAAGAAATTTGTAGTGTAAGGCAGTACAACGGGGAGTCCCTACATGAATACTGGGAGCGTTTTAAAAAATTATGTGCAAGCTGCCCCCATCATCAGATTAGTGAGCAGCTACTTATCCAGTATTTCTATGAGGGTCTTCAACCCACTGATAGGAGCATGATTGATGCTACTAGTGGAGGAGCTTTAGTGGATAAAACTCCCGAGGCTGCAAGAAACCTGATTGCAAATATAGCGGCCAATTCTCAACAGTTCGGCTATAGGCTTGACCCTCCATCAAAGCATGTTAATGAGGTAAATCTCTCTTCCCTTGAACAACAAATTGCGAGTCTGACTTCTCTTGTTCATCAAATGGCTGTAGGTAATATGCAAACGATTAAGGCTTGTGGGATATGTTCAGTAGTAGGGCATCCAACTGATATGTGCCCAACTCTTCAAGAGGAGCCCATGGAACAAGTGAATGCGGCAGGTGGTTTTCTAGGGCAACCGCAAAGGAAATATGATCCCTATTTGAGCACGTATAATCTGGGATGGAGGGATCATCCCAATCTCAGCTATGGGAATCCACAGAGCCACCTAAGTTTCCCGCAGTATTAGTCGTACCCCCTAGACAACAGTCAGCCCAAACTTCTAATTTTGGTACGTCTTTAGAGGATATCGTTAAATCTCTTGCCACTAACACCTTGCAATTTCAGCAAGAGAGGAGGGCCAGTATCCAACGTTTGGACAATCAGATAGGCTAGATGGCAACCACAATTAGTCGGTTAGAGGCGTAAAGTTCAGGGAAATTACCCTCTCAAACGGTTGTGAATCCAAAAGAAAATGTAAGTGCAATCGTTTTGAAAAGTGGTAAGGAGGTTGAGACTCCAGCAAAGGCAGCCCTGCATCGTCAAAGCAAGGAGAGGAGAAGGACATCATTCCTGATGACGATCAAGTACCTAAGCGTAAGTTTCCACCTCTTTCTGATTATAAATCGGTACCTCCTTTTTCCCATTCTTTAGCAAGTTCTAGGAAAGATGAGCAGTTCAAAGATTTTTATGAAACTTTTTGTAGATGCGAGGTAAACATTCCACTTCTAGATGCTATTAAACAAGTACCTCGTTATGCTAAATTCCTGAAAGAATTGTGTACACATAAGAGGAAATAGAAACTGAAAGGATGTGAAAAGGTGAGAGTAGGGGAGAATGTTTCTGCAGTTATTCAAAGAAAACTCCCTACAAAGTGCAAAGATCCAGGTATGTTCACTATCCCTTGCATGATTGGTAACACTAGAATTGAGAAGGCCATGTTAGACTTAGGAGCTTCTATTAATGTCATGCCATATTCTATATATGCTTCTTTGAAACTTGGACCTTTGAATAAAACTAGTGTTGTGATTCAATTGACTAATAGATTTAATGTCTATGTCTACCCTATCGAAAGTGCGACAGTTGCCAACGGCACTCCAATCTCCATCACCAGCCTGCAGCCCCCCTGAAGCCAATCACCAGCTCGCAGCCATTCATCCAGTGGGGAATGGACATCCTCGGCCCCTTTCCCACCGCGGTTGCATAGAAGAAATTCCTTCTTGTAGCAATAGACTATTTCACAAAGTGTGTAGAAGCCGAAGCCTTGGCACGCATCACCACCCATAATGCCCGGAACTTCTTCTGGTAGGGTATTGTTTGCTGCTTCGGCATCCCTCACGTGCTCATCATGGACAATGGGACACAGTTTACTGACAAGAAGTTCGAGGCCTTATGTGCCGACCTAAGGATCAATCATCGGACCACTGCAGTACACCGACCCAAAGTAACAGGCAGATTGAGGTAACCAACCAAACCCTACTACATTGACTGAAAATGCATCTAGGTCAAGCCAAGGGAAGGTGGGTTGAAGAGCTGTCGAGCATACTCTGGGCATACGGAATGACTCTATGGACTGCCACCGGAGAAACCCCTTTTAGCTTGACCTACGGGGCCAAGGCCACATAGTCCCCGTGGAGATAGGTTCCCCAATTGTTCGGACCGAGCTATTCAATGAGGGGCAGAATGAGGAATATCTACACGTGGAGTTGAACCTAGTAGAAGAAGCCCGGGACCGAGCACATGTAAGAATGGTCGCACAACAGCAAAGGATGGCAAAGCACTACGACTCCAAAGTTAGAAGACAAGAATTCAAGACAGGCAGCTTCGTCCTACGCAAAGTCATAGTCCCCACACCCGGAGAAGGCAAGCTTGGACCAAACTAGGAAGGGCCATACAGAATCACCAGGGTCCTCGGACCGAGTACTTATAGACTCAAAGACCTTGAAGGCCGACCGATACCAAGGAGTTGGAACTCGGGAAATCTCAAAATGTACTACTAGTAGATCTACAAGCAATAAAATTTTCTTTTCTTTTAAGCTACATCTCTGACCTTCGGGCACATACATGCTCACCACACACACTACACATGCATAGGCCAAGCCGCACTACCGACCAAGTTGACTCCGTCGATCCTAGAACGACTGAGCCCATAACGCCCAGCTGACTAGCGTATCACCGACTAAGCTACCCGACTCAGTTGACCATAGCTGAGCCTAAACATGGAGAAAGAACACCCCTGCCCACCGAGGCCTGAGGGCAGTCGTGGAACTCCGCACAACTGTCGGCTTAACGGCTGAGCTAGCTAGGAAACAGCTTGCCCTAGAAGGGCCCCAAAGGCTCCCAAGACCAGAAACTGAGCATCTCATGGCTGAGAGCTCAGGAATCAAAATATCTCAGTCAACCATACCTTGGTCAGCAGAAGGTTGAGGACACTGAGACATAGCCCAACTCGGTACGCGATAGCCTAGCCAACCATGCCTCAGCCAGCAAAAAGAAATGCACAAGTATAAAGAACGTGCAACATCAATGAGACACACATACATGGTTAGCAAAAATAACTTGTATTCAAATCTGAAAGTGGTTTGCTACATTGTTTAAGGCTTGGCATACTGAGCCGATACAAAAAAAAGGGAGAGAACCCAACACAAAGAAAAAGCACAACTTGGAAGAGACAGTCGCTCAATCCTCGGTAGCAAAGCTAGCAGCCCCTTCAACAACGTCAACCTCGTCCCTGGCCCCTTCGTTGGCATCCTTGGCGAAACCTGGGGGGATGTCCGGATCATAAGACCTCCAGCCCTATGACACCTTGGTTAGCTCTAGGTAGTGGCGAAGGACCCTTTAGCGGAAGACGTTAAGTCCAGCCTTGAAGGAGGCCTCCGCGTACTTATCCATTTGTAGTTTCATCTCTTCCGATGCCTTGTATCGGTCAACTTCCTCCTTGGCAGTCTCTTGCCTCAGCCTCTCCCGCTCTGCCTTAAGTTCGGTAATCTCTTGCTTCATCCCCCAGACGATACTAGCTTGCTCGGTCAGCTGCGCCTTCAGCTCAGCCACCTCCCTCTTTAGCGCGACCGACCACTCCCCGGCAGCCTGAAGTTCGGCCAGCTGGGCCTTCTGTCGCAGATACTCTGTGTGTTCTTGCTCGCACATTGACCGATGGTCCTGGAGGGGATCGACCAACATGACCGCCACACAAGCATTCTACAGAAGAGAGTGATGAGTTTACACCAAAAAATAAATAAAAAACAAAACACAAGGGATAAGAAAGAAAGGAACTCACTTAGGCAACAGACCACAAAAGCGCGCACTCTAAGGCTCCGTTACCGATGAGGACCAACGCCTGAGCCATCGACATAGTCAAAATCCATCACAATAACTACTCGGGAACCCCAAGCGTCTCCAAGTCACCGTCAACACGAACCGACCACCGCGGCATGTACAGGCCCGAGCTGTTGCCGCCCATTTCTATCCCCGGTGCACCCGTAGGACGATGAACCCCTTCAGGGTCAACCACGACAACATCGTACTCCTCAGCCTCGTGCTACCGAACTCTCCTTTGCCGATGAGTTGCCCTATCCGCGGATTGTGGCTTGTCCGTTGCCTTGGGCTGAGCCTCCAACTGTGTACTAGCTCGCCCCTGCCTCTACCGAAGTGCCCTCATCCGATGAACAATCTCTTCTTTGCTGGCCATCCTTATACTTGCAACACAGAATGCCCGGGATAAGTAGAAAGCAAACAAGGGAACAATGACTCAACAAACAAACAGTAAAAGAAATAGATCGGTCACCCTCTCCATTAACCCAACGAGCATCAGCATCTCCGAGCATGTGTACGCGATAACATCTATCTCATGGATTATGCTTAGGGCTGACCTCTCCTCCCAAGTAAGCATCGTCCACTCGGGCTATGACATAGTTGTCCTCGGCTCCCGTAGTTCGACCGGAAAAGGGAGACCCCCGGGAATGTGCACGAAGGAAAATGACTCCTTCCAGTGCTTCACAAAAGAAGGAGCCCCGACCAACGACCAGACATTTCGCCTACTGGAGAAATAGTAGTAGCCCTACTGATGGTGCTTCAGTTAAAGCATAAAGCTCACCATCCCCAGGGTCAGCTCGATATCATGGACTGCATAGTAGGACATGAGGTCGAGCAAGAACTTGATGGAGTTCGACATCAACTGAACTGGCAACACCCTATACCAGCCCAATACCTCGGTGACCCCTCGTTCAACGGGAACCTCAGTCCAGCCTCCAAGCTATGCTCATACACACATATCTCACCGGGCTGAGCATCAGTGGCCATTTCATCGGGCTGTAGATACCTCATTTGGAACTTTGAGGGGATGACATACATAGCTTGGATCCGAGCCATATCCCTAGGTGCCAAGACGCAAGGCGTGGTGCCAAACTGACGACCTGCTCGCAGGGGGAGTTCCGCCTCCGTCCCAGAAGGGCCAACCTCAGCCTCCTCGACTTCGACGACCACAAAATCCCCTAGCTCCAGCTCATAGTTGGAGCCATGAGAAGAGCTAGAATCGGAACCACTACTAGAGGACCTACAAGAGGAAGAGGATCAATGGGATAAGGAAGACATGCTGAGCCGAGGAAGGGAAAACCACTGAGCAACTACTGCCGAGCAATCGTAGCACACTCCGCCGAGCAATGTAAGCTACCTTCCTCGCAAATAACACAAAGGGGGGCCCTTTTCTTTTATAGCCACTAGGAGCACGGACCGAGGAGAGATCAACGGTAAGATGAAGCACCTCTGACAATGCCTCAGAAGACCAATCGGCATGACCGATAACGCATGCGCGAAGCATTGAAAATCGAATCGACGGACCCGACATGCAATGGTTACGACCATTAAATGTGCCGGCTCGACCCTCAGTGCCAGTCCAACCACAAACGTGGATCCCCGATTAGGCCACCCAAGAACGCCAGCCCAGCCAGGATGCCTAACACCGACTGGAACCGAGCCCTGATGCCAGACAAGGCTACACGGCTGCACAACAGTCCGGCCGAGCATTCCCCCTCCTTGACAACAGAACTGGGGGAGTGGTTCGAGAATCAAAATTTCGGTTCTTACTTAAGTTCTGGAATCGATGATCAAAGGATTCCTCGGCAATGACCAACACTACGCAGACAACGGAAGAACCAGACAACAGCTCGGAAGTTCCTTATCCAAGCAACAAACCAGGAGAACCTTGTCCCTCGACTTCAGAACTGGAGGAGTGGTGTTGGGGTCATGGCTGAG